ATTTTACGCCGATAAAAAGTTTTATAACATTTACCCCAGGAGTTCTTACTTTTTAAAAGTTAATACGCCTTATTTATTTTGAAATATCGGATATATATTGTAATGTTATAATTTATTGTTGATAAACCAAATTTATAAGTTTATAAATTAAAATAATCTTTATTGTAAATAATCTATAATATAAAAACATATTTAACATAAACAAAATAACTGCTAGCAAAAAAAAGATTTATTTGAAAACTCTCATCTCTAAAGCAGGGGGCAGAACATCAGAATCGTTACAAACCGTAAATAGCTCCAGCGAATGTTTATCGTTATCAATGTCAAAGACAACAGCAAAATTTCTATTTTGTTCCGCACAACTTTTAATTTTTTCTTTTATCGACGTTATCAAAGAACATAACTTCCCTAAAGATTGTTGATATTCCTCTTTTTTACGACCACACCTTTCACACACTTCCTCAAAAGAAATCTTTTCAATTTTTTTTAAAACCCCCCTCTCATGCCAACCAAAAACCATATTTTTTATGTTAAAAAACAATAAGTGACTCCATTTATATTGAGGGAATTCGTAACTACCCTTGTAAATACTTTTTGTTGTTAATTCAACATATTTTTCATATTTTTGACCGTTAAAATCTCCACTTTCAATCAGCATTAAACTAGAGTTTTTATTAAATGCAATCGGTTCATTTTTTTTTGGCAGTGTCTCTGCGTGAACTGAACTACTTTTTTCAACGCAATCTACTTGAGCTTGACACATAACACGTATATTACCTAACATATAAGTGACAACCTTCCAATAACTTCCGGCTTCAGGTGACCAATTTTCTGTAAATTTATTTTTAAAATCATCGCTATAGTCTTTACATGGTAGAATAACGTTCTCATCGTTGCGAATAAATATTAACGTATCATTTTTATTTATTTGAATATCGATTCGAAATGAACCTTGTGAGTTGTCTTCAACAAACTCGAATAATTTACGTAAGTTGATACGATCAGTTATCAAATCGACCGAGCTAAAATCGTATTCTGGAGTACACAGTAAAACAGCTTGAAACATAGGTTCCATTGGATGCTTATTCATATAATATTTACTTTCATCGCAGACACGTTGAATATCACTCGCTTTAAGTTTTTGATTAACTAGATTTTCTTTAAAATATTTGGGTTTACCTGGTACTATAATTACTGGATTATCCGGTGTGCTCTGTCGAGCCCAGTTATACGATCCAACAAATACAAAATTGTCCACACAGCCATTTGAATTCAATATTATATCATTTACTTTAAAAATTTTAGTCAACTCTATTTTATCCTTAAATAACCATTTTTTTTTTACATCATTGAGTTGATGGTATGATGTATCATCACGTTGATGAAATGATCTTTTTTCATCCCAGCGATATGAACCAGTTTTATTGTACGTTTGTCTTGAGCTGTAAAAAAAAAAATTATCTGTTAAGGAAGTTATAAGATAATAAAAAAGAATACATTCAACAAATAATATTAAAGCATTTTTAATAAACATAAGTTTAAACCAAAACAGTTTTGCTGCAACATTTAAAAGCGGCATGTATTGTTAACTTAACACGGGTATCCTGAAGGTACACTAAGATTTTGTACTTATCCCATGAAATTTTGACTTAGAAAGCAGTCCATTTGCATATTTCAAAACTATCAAACTTTAAATCATTTGTTGATAGCTTTTTGAGAAAAAGTTTTGTTTTAACTAAAGATTAGATCCATCTGACCCACCTCCAGACCATAGCACAGTGGGAAATCACATAGTCAAAAATTAAAAAAGTGATTTACCTCAAAAACAACGTTTGATAGTGGATTTTGTTATACTAATACCCTCACTAAGAACTTTCCAATTTAAAAAACTTTGTGACAAACTTATTGGTAGTATCTTCTTAGAGTTAGGTTTTTATTTCATTTTTGATTCTTAAGATGCAAGGTTTTATTAATTATTATTTTTGTATTATACAGATACGGTTTGCAATACCGGGATCCCGAAATCCCGGCCTTTTTTATAAACCCGAAATCCGGATTCCCTATACGATCGAGCAAAAACAAAGGGGAAATCAAAAAATATATAAAAATAATATCAATTTATGCGCATTAATATAATAATTTTTATTTAGTATAATATCGCCGAAAATAATTCTATTTTCAGTTATTCTGTTCAGTAATTCTGCAAAATATTTTTTTTTTAACTTAAAAAAAAACGCGCGTTTCTCACAAGGTTTACTCTTAAAATTAAAACTTAAATAAGCATGGCGTAATGTGGATTTTAAAATTAAAAGTAAATCAGCTGTTTAGAAATATTTTCTACAAGAAGAGAAAGGGCAAATAGCTATGTGTAAATTGTCAAACTGCAAGAAGATTTAAAAAATCTGTGGTGGTTTAAAAAAAGGTCTTCATATACACATGTTGTTGGTCCATAATGTGAAGGTCGAAAATCCAACCCAACCTAATATTAACGGAGAAAGCACATCAAATAAACCACCAAAAAAGAAATCCTAACCACTAACACTTTTTGATTTTTGATAAGGAAAATAAAACACTTCACGTTACACTTGCTCGTCTAACGGCGTCCGACGGACTTTCATTTAATGTGATTTGTTCTTCAATAGATTTACGTGCCGCTCTAACTGCTATGGGATTCAGAAATCTACCAACGTTTTTATGTAGTTATGTAAAGTTACGATTAATTCAGCAAATTAAAGCGCTTAAGAGTGCCAGCAGAAAAGTGCATTGAACTATTAGAAAAAAAACTTAGAGACCATTGTCTTGATCTACACGGCGACATTGTAGCTATAATGACCGAGGGAGCTAGAGTTATGAAAAAAGTTGGAAGGTTGCTGGCTGCAAATCAACAATTATGTTTTGCCCACGGCATACAACTTGCTGTAATTGATGTTTTTATAAAAAAAAAAAATTTGATGCAAATCAGCCGAAATTTAAAAATGAATTTTTTGACAGTGATTCATCCGAGAATGAGGTTATCGAGAAAGATTTACTGGGCTATTCTATAGCTCTGTCGCATGATAATTTGACAATATTATTAGGCATTATCACAACTTTAGTTCCTTTAAAGCAACGGTTGAAGCACTTTGTCGCCGAGATTCTAACCTGTTTACAGCTGACATTGCTGTTAATTTTATGCTTACAAAATTAAAAGATGCTGACAATGATACAAAAAAGGAAATGCGTACACCTTTAATGGCTCGTATACATGAACGCTGAACTGATATGAGTGGATTTCATTGAAAAATTGAAAAATTATCACAAAGTTACTAAACTTCAATTTGATGAAGAATTTAAAAATTGTTCCAATTTGTATCTTTTCCATATTTTGATATTTTTCAGTCTAAAGTGTCTACCAACTACCCTAAAAATTATAGCTGCGATCTTGAGTGCTAAATAATTTTAAAAGATTGATGTTTTCTTAAACAAATAAAAAAATTCTTTCATAAAAAGCAATTTATTTTTTCATTCATAACTAAAACTAAAAAATACTACTTTAAGGCTCGAACAACTCTAGTGAATTTGTTTTTGTGTTTTTCTTGAGAGGAAAACTAGGTATATGTTGAATTTACATATTTCATACAGAATTGAAATCAAAACTTGGAAAGTAAAAAAGGTTGTAAAAGATAAATATTTATTTAAAAAAAATTATTCATGATAGGATGTTTGAAGAATATGGTTTGAGAGTTGATGAACCTATTGGCGGATCAGGAATTAGATATTGGTATAGATGATACAGATATTGGCGGATCAGGAATTAGTAATACCAGAAATTTATGTTGACAAGCTTTTATCATTCAGCCTCTATCATTCAGCAAAATTTTAGAAATTAATAAAGAAATTACTATCAGATTACATAACATTCTATTTACAATCAATTGCAAAGACCCAACTGACCCGGAAAAATAATGATAAATACTGCAATCATACATACAAAAAAATTGTTAGAGACATACGATTGGTTCAAGCCCCAGCTTCCATTCACAAAGTATTAAGCACATGCCAAGGAAATTATCATTAATTCCCCAGTTTCGCATGATTTAATGGGAGAAGCAGCTGAACTTTAATAGAGAACTTATAAATTTGATCGGGAACACCGTTTGAGGAAAAAATTCAAAGAAAAAAACTTATTTTCATTCGAGCAATACATACTTCTGATCCCCTAATTAGTTCAACCTCATTAACTAAAAGATTGAAAAATAAGAAAATATTGTGCCTACTTAAAAAAGGCAAAAATTTGTTAACAGTTTATAGCGATGATATCGAAAAATCATCTGGTATGGAACCAGTTGAAATTAATGACTTAGATGAATTGTATTTAAATTTTGACAAAGTTGACAAAAATCTAGAATTAGATATAGATGCAGAAGAATAAAATTCTAAACTCTATAATCTGTATAATATTTAACTTTAAAGTTGTTTGCCTACTATACAAATTTATTAAATATATAAAAAAGTATTAAATAAAATATTTTAAAAATTACAGCGATTCAGCTTAATTCATTGGAGTTTGAAAACAAGAATACCCATATTCTTATATGTGTGTATATATATATATATATATATATATATATATATATATATATATATATATATATATATATATATATATATATATATATATATATATATATATTTATATATATATATATATATATATATGTATATATATATATATATATATATATATATATATATATATATATATATATATATATGTATGTATATATATATATACACACACATATATATATTCATATATATATATATATATATATATATATATATATATATATATATATATATATATATATATATATATATATATATATATGTATATATATTATTATTATTATTATATATATATATATATATATATTATTATATATATTAAAATTTAATAACTTTGATGCTGAACAATGCTGATTGTAAAGATGTTGGAGATAATAAAAAAATGTAAATAAATTATATATAATATATATATATATATATATATATATATATATATATATATATATATATATATATATATAATATATATATATATATATATATATATATATATATATATATATATATATATATATATATATATATATATATATATATATATATATATATATATATATATATATATAATTTCATCATTTTTTTATTATCTCCAACATCTTTACAATCAGCATTGTTCAGCATCAAAGTTTTTAAATTTTAAATTTGTTTAAACTGAATTAACATTGTTCAATATCAAACAAAAACAATTTAAAAAATTTCTATTTTTATACAAATTTTTTAAATTGTTTTTAAAGAGTAGTTTTCCTAAAAGTACTTTTTGATAAGGATTTCAAAACATTCCCTTCCATTAGACTAGCTTTATTGCATTATAATTTAATGTTATTCGTTTTAAGTTGATAATATAACAATTTAAGTTATATTGTTTTTTTCTTCAAACACAAAAGAGAAATTATTTTGAAAACTCGTTGTGATTTTTAGCAAAACATGGTTTGTTTCTAAACATGGTTTAATTTTTAGCAAAACATGGTTTGTTTGTTTTTTTATTCAGAACTAGTTCTAACATTATTTAACTATTTCTAACAGAATTAGAACTTAAGAGAAAAAGTACAAAGTTATAATATAAAAACACTGTTGTAATCGCTGTTATATGTAAAAACATCATTATTTTAATATTTAACCATTGTTTTAATATTTAGGCTTTTAAAGCCAAGTCCTATAGACAGCAACTATTAGCCAATCAGAAACCACTAAACATTACTATTACTATGTTGGTGCAATTACAGAAAATAAACAACTATAATGGCTGAGGGAAAAATACTGTTTTAGTGTCAAAATATCATTATTTATAAAACTAATATGCAAACAAACGATTTAAATTTTTAAAGTTATTAAATGTGTAAGTAGACAACTTTCAAATTCAAAGTCAAATTCAAAAAAACAATAATAATAATAATGGGATGCAACATAAGGTCTTATTAATATATTAGAAAATCATTGTCATTTTAAAAATAATTATTTTTATTATTTATTTTAATTATTTTTATTAATAACTATTAGAATTCCAGTCTATAGGACATTAATTAAAAAAAATATTTTTAAGAAGATAAAATCATCACTAGTGAACAACAGATGGTAGTTTTTAGTCAAATGTTCCAAACGTTGTTAAAGTCTACACATGCATTATACCTTATTAACTTAAATGGTATATATACCTTATAGCTTAAATGCATTTAAATAAAGTTTTCATTTATCATTTTATTTAAGATGTTAGTGTGGCAATAATTTGATGAAACATAGCCGTTAATAATATCAAAAGCTGATCATATTTATTTTGCAAAAACTTTTCATATTTATTTAATGTTTAGATTAGAAGCTTTAATAGATTTTTTTCAAAATATTTTTTGCAACTTTTTTAGTTTCTTTAGTCCCTCTTCTTGATCATTATTTTTTGTAGGTATTTTATGAACTGGTCCAAATTTATCTATTAATAATTACAAAAATAATTGAGAAGTTTGTGCGCTGTCTTCATTGTCTGTACTGTTTCTACATGTTTATTATGAAAATCATCCAACCCCTTCCTTTTATTAATGGGGTTTTATTAAAAGGAGGGGAAGGTGAGAATTTTTCTAAAATCTAATAAACAGGGAGTTTAATACTTTGGTGAGAAATAAACCAAAAGCTCATTTTTGACAAATCAAAATTTACTAGGTCAATGATTTTTAAAGTCTGTTTATACTGAAAGTTTTTATCTTTATCGGTGACTAAAATAACTATTTTCTTATTTTTAAGGCAGATTTTCAGATTATTTTTTTTTAATTTGAAGATAAATTTGTGTTGATAAAAAGTAAAAATTAATAAACGGGGAAGGGGGGAGGGGGTGCAAGGATCTCAATAAGCTTAGGGTAGATGGGTAAATTTTCTCAAAGTTAATAAACATTCAACCCCTTCTATTAAGGACTCGAGAGTACTGGATAGTAACCCACTTTCTAGAGATTTACACAATATTTATTTTATTTTTAAATACCATTTTAGATACCAGTTTCCTTAGATATCATTCTTCTTTACATTGAAGTTTTTTGCAATGATTCACATCCTTGGTTAAATGCTGTCTCTTAATTTGTTTTTCATGCTTATACTTTTTGATGTCTTTCGTTTTTCTTAATATGTCTAACTTGTCCTTGTTCATATTATTTTTAACTTTAGTTGCTGCTTCAACTTCTATTACTAGTTTTAAAACCATTCTACTTCCAAACTTTTTCTAGTCAGCATATCTGTTGCCATTTTAAATCTTGGAAATAAATTCGTTATTTTATCAAATTCTAAGATTATACTCGATTTGTTGCTATTTTCCATGTGGCGATCTATGCTTTTTGTGTTTATTATTATGATTATTATGTTTATCAGAGAGAGATCTCTGGTAATGTAGTTCTTGGTCCATTTTTGTTAATTTGCAGGTTTTGTCTGTCCTTTTTTTTTCAGGTTCAGTTTGTCCTCAAGAAACTACATATGCCGTTTGGCATTTGTAGTTTCTTAAGGACAAACTGCAAGGGAAAACTTTAGATCTTTTTTGTTTTGATCTTTTTTGTTGTTATTAGTGAAATTTAGCAAAAGAGAAAGCTGTAAGCGAAACAACAACATAAAAAATTAGAGGGTACATCTAATATTTGATCATAGAATCCAAATTTGTCTATAAACTGTCTGAACAAGAAATATTTTTGTAGTTATTTCAATTTATCTAAATGTTATTGATAGTTAGCAACACCCTTAGCAATTATACTGAAGAATTTCAAACCTCTTTAAAAAGCTAATCCTGGGCCATCAGAAATACTTTAATGCATTCCTAAAATGCATTAAAGTATTTCTGATGTACTTGGCTGAGATAAAAAAAATTCAGTTTAAAAAATGACATAGTTAACAGAAAAGAAAACTTATTAACTTGAAAAAAAAATGTAATTTTATAGCTGCACTTATTTGACGAATCTGTTGACTCATTTTCATTTTTTCCCTATGCAAAAAGTAATGTGCAGCATAAAAATGTTGATTAACATTTATTTACATAAACTAAATACCTACATAAATATATAATATATATTAATTGACACTTTTATGAATGTCTTATTTAAAAAAAACAGAAATTTTTTAAATTAAAAGCCTGTCCATACCAAAATACTAAGTCAGTGCATGTGCACTTCATTACATCTATGCTTATGTTAGTTAATGCATATAACAGTCACTATGTGCACTCTGTTGTGCCAACAGTTTTATCAGTAAATGTATGAACACTTTTATACACTTATTAAACTATTTTCTTAAAAAAAATTATTAATAAAATAATTTTAAATCATTATTATTATTGTTATTATTATTGCTATTATAATTATTATTACTATATACATATATATATATATATATATATATATATATATATATATATATATATATATATATATATATATATATATATATATATATATATATATATATATATATGTATATAGTAATAATAATTATAATAGCAATAATAATAACAATAATAATAATGATTTAAAATTATTTTATTATTATTATATATATATATATATATATATATATATATATATATATATATATATATATATATATATATATATATATATATATATATATATATATATATATATATATATATATATATATATAAAATAAAAGTTAATACACATGAAACATGGCACAAAATTTAACATAAATAAACATTGCAAAAAATTCAAACCCTCACCTTTGACTTTGCGATAAATTAGGAAAACTTTGCAAAATATTGGGATAAACTGCCAGGTTAACTAAATATAAATAGTTGTATATATATATATATATATATGTGAAAAAAAAAGCATTGCAATAACAATCAATACCAATCATTCAAAAGTTTAAAAAACTTTTTTTTTTTCAATTTTTAATAGACATCAGTCTCTAGTTAAGATTATTCAATACGTTATTCAAACTATTTTTTTAATTTATACTTATTATTCAAAAACTCTTTATTTACAATTTTACTGTTTATCATAAGTTAGGAAAGTTACAAAAAGCTTTGCATCTAATTAAAAAGTATACTTAAAAGTAAGTTAATAACATTTTTATATTAAAAGAATTAACAATACTTTCGGTAAAATAAATTAGCTGGCAAAGTAAACCAAAAATAACAATAACAAAAAAATCACAAATAAAACTTGCAATGAAACATATCATTTGATATATTGGTTAGGTGTAATATTTCTCCAAATGGTGATGCTTGCAGGAGGTAGCTCCTTTTAATTACTCCAGGTCAGATCAGGTTCCGGATTATCATGACCACCCTGGTACTATGCAGTAGCTCTCAGAAAGGTTGATTCCATCAATAGCTGCGAAATACCAGAGCATTAAAAGTGCCATGTTGTGGAAGGATGGTGTCCCTGTTAATGCTTTTGGTATGTATTGTCAAGGCCATATAAGGAGCCCTATGTTATGACTTTGGATTATTTAACAGGAGTGAGAAGATTGCATATCTTATTGCTTGGGAGGCCATGTTCTATCTTTAAATGAGTCAAGTTCTCTTTAAACTTAAATTATTCCAAAATTAAATCAAAACATTAAACATAAAAAACCATCCCCACCACTCAACTATTTTGATATATCTTTTACTGATATTTGTGGTCTGTGAAGCAACCTTTCATCAGTTGAATCTTACCTCTCACAAAATTTACCAGACTTGCTTGATCTTAGTGAGACTAATATAAATTCCGCTATTCCTTCTTCTGATCTTAGTGTTGATAGGTACTATTATTTGATTCACAAAGACTTCAATAGTCATTTATTTTCTGTTCAAATAGATCATACTTTCTTTCTTTACCCCTCTGTCAATATTATTATTATTAATGACTTTAATGCTTATTAAATTGAACGACTAGGCTCTATTGCCACTAACCATGCTGGCACTAAAGCCTAAAACTTCTACATTTCTCAATTTTTCACTCAGTTAACTTTGCGACTCTTTTTTCTGACTACCCTGATCCTTTACCTTCAATTCTTGATTTATGTCGTCTCTGATCCTAGCTTGTGTTCAGTTTGTCCTTTTTCTCCCTTAAGTGGTTCTGATCAAGTCTATCATTTTGTACTTCATTTTTGGACTCACCCTATTATTGTACTACTAACTGCTACCCTAAAGCTGACTAGGACTCTTTTCTAATTTTCTAAATCCTCTCTCTTTATATGTATATAGTAAAAGAGTTTGTACCAGTTTCTAAACGCTTTGTTGTATGAGAATCTGCCTTACTTAATGTTTAGAAACTGCTATAGCTTATAAACCTTTATCTTTACACTAGGTAAGTGTTCAGAGACTGTACCAGTTCAAGATCATACTTTGGAGCCCATCAACTTGCAATTACCCCATGCCAAAAGCATATATAAATAAAACTGGAAAAATCAGCTATCTGTTTTATTTCATTTAACTCGTGTTGAGGCATATTCAAATGTTTAGTAAAATAGACTATTTTAAATGAATATATCAATTTTATAATCCACCTTATAAAAAAAATTCTGAAACTGTCATTTTCATTACTACCTTCTAAGCAAATGAATGAGAACTGTATAAACTCTTTGTAATCTTCTTTTGGGTGACATGACCATCTTTTTGGACATGTTGCATGCAGTTAACCTTTGCCATGCATTCTCTAGAGATTGTTGAACAGGAATTTTTAATATAAGAGTCATATATGAGTTTTTATCATGGCCCACGTACATTGGAAGTTTTGAAAGCTTTGAATCACTTGTTGGTAAACTAAAAAACTTCTTAAATATTTATTATTAATTTATTAGTATGACTAACTACAAATTAGAATTCCCTTTTTATTCTGGTCCACCCCCTCGGATAAGTCATGTAGTATCAAAAGACATACCAATGATATTGTCATGAAATTTAAGTCAATCAACTTCTTTAATGTCTACTTTAGCCATTTGCTAAATGCTTTTTTGAGCCACAGAAAATTTTTTTAAAATATTTGACAGTCACTAGAACTGGTAATCTATTTTCCAAAGTTTTTACAATCCTATAGACAATTGACAACAGTAGTTAACTATTTTAATTTAAGTCCAAATAAGAGATTTTTTTTTTTAATTTCAATTTTCTTGACAAATTTACCTTTGTTGATTATCCAAGTTTGGTAAATACAGTTATGGTAGATACAGATATGGAGATTTGTGAAAATATTAAGTTTCTCTTTGCAGTAGTTACAAATGAAGCACTTGCTTGTTGAAAATAGAGCTGTTCTCAACCCATAGTAGAAGTCTGTATGGTCTGTATGATCAGAAACTTCTACTATGGCTTTGTTCTCGACCCATAGTAGAAGTTTCTGATCAGGAGGTTTAACTTAAGGACTAAGACGTTTAATTTTTAAAAAACTACTCATAGGTCATCAGTCTGCTCTACTCATTGTCGAACTCATAAAAACTTCTTTATGCAACTTAAGAAATTCTGTTTTTTTGTAAAATACTTGTCACGTCCATCACATTTTAACAAGAAATACTAAATAACTGTTTAATTTATTTAATATTTCTTGTGATTTAAAAAGGTTTATTTTTCCTGCTGTTTAATATCTGTAATGCTCTATTTCTCTTTGCACAACTTTAGCATTATTTGTACAACCTCTTTATGCCAGCACATGTATTTTCCTCTACTTTACTAGTTAAACTCTACTTTTAGTTGGTTTTCTCCAAATTTAATGTTATTTACCACTTCTAGATTAAACAGCATTCAAAAGAGCTTTTTCATTTTTGTGCACTGATAAACAACCACAATATTTTTTTTATACTTTTTAAAAAATCTTTACAATTCTTAATAACATCTCCTAAATGGCAAAAATCACATAAAATTTGCAAGTTACCACAAATGTACATTAATAATGTCCTATATCAAAACATAACAGAAATTGAATGTAATTAAGCTTTCTATTTTGTCTGATTAAATAATAAACAAAAAAATTTGGTGAACTTTTATTTATTTGTGTTAAGAGTAATTATTAAATGACTTTACAGTAGTCAAAGAAAATAGAACAGAGCTTATTTTAAGACAAAGGAGGACTGCTTTGTGCATGCAAAACACAACTTTCATGAAATCAAGTTTAACAAAAACAGACAGCAAAAAATAAAAAATAAAAATCAATGATAAAAGTTAAATTGTTAATTGTTTAATTAATTTGTTTAGTTTTTCAAAATTAATTTTTAATTTTAAAACTAATAACTTTAGTTAATTGTTGTTTAATTAAAATTGTTAATCAGCAATTGTTAAATATGCTGATTGTATATTGTTCATTTTTAAACCAATTTAATTAAATCAGGAGTATCAAAGCAGTCCATGTTGAAATAACAAGATAAGAATAAAAAACACACCTTTCATATCCTTTGTTTTTCCTAATTTGGTCAACTCAAAAGCTGCATTATCATACCTAAAGAAATATAATAAGCATAAAACATAATAAAGTTTACAACAATAATCAACTTTTTAAAATAAAATAATCAATACTTTTTAAATTATAACCTAACTTTTTAAATTATAACATCACTAAACCACAGAAAAAAACCTTGATAAACCTGGAGTCAAATAAATTTATCACCATAAAAAAAAAAACTGATATAAGTATTGTTATTCTTAACACAAATGATTATGAAAACAAAATTAAAGATGCTATGGAATGACCAACCTACTGCCTACTTCCAATAAGACTTAACTTTGCGTACAGTGAACATCATGTCACTAATCAACTTTGTTTCAAATTCACTTTACACTAACCTTCTCTGCTGTCAGGACACTATTATTACTGAATAGTCCCCGTACCCCATTACATTTTACAAATGTTTTCTTGATGAAATTTTTTAATTTTTTTTGTCTCCAGATAAGAACTCCTAATGGTTTAGACATTTATGAATGACCTTCACCCTACTATCAAATTTATTATTATTAAATGTCAGGTCAGGTTATCCTGCTACTGGTAACATGTAACAGAGTACAAACTGCTATATGTCTTGCTACCAGAGAGGTTGATTTCATCATTAGCTGAAAAATTAAAAGTGTCATGTTGCGCATGGATAGCATCCTTGTCTTTACTTTTGGTGTGGATTGCCAAGGCCACATTTGGAGTCCTTTGTTACGCCTAAGGTTTATTAATAGTAATAAGGCAAATGCTTGGGCTATTAAACAGTATACTGAGTACTATCTATGAGTCAAATTCTTTAACAAATTTACATAACAAAGTAACAAAAACTATAAAACACAAAAAACCATTGTCATCACCAAGTTCTCTAAACCTATCACTCGCTAATATTTATTGTCTTTGAAGTAACTTTTCATAGAATCCTTTATTCCCATTCGACGACTCCAGGTCAAGCCTCACTCTTCTTCATGGTTTTCCTCACATTGTGCTGCTGCAATTGCCAATCAAAATAATTACTTCCATATCTATCAACAAAACAATTCTCCAGAAAACAGACGTCTGTTTATTACAGCTAGGAACCATTGTAAAAAGATTTTGTCTAATACCAAAGCCATAAAACATATTACATTGCATGCATTATGGTTCAACTAATAAGTATAAGTAAATAAGATTTATACAATATGATTTCTTGCTACTACTTTGAAGCTGACAGGGATTCTTTACAAAAAAATTGTGCTATCTAAATAATATCCTGGATTCCTTCTCATTAGTGTCATATAAATTCTCACCTTATTCTATGGTTGCTACGCTATGATTTTTTCTTAATTGTGCAGTTAATATTTCAAACTTTGAATATTTTTTAAAAATTTTTTCACCAGAGCAACTTTCTTAAAAATAAACTCTTAAACGTCTCTTATTTTTAGCTTACTCATTATTACCCCATAAACTATATAACAAGTGCTTTATTAAATCTTATTATCTTTAGTTTCAATTTTTTTAAACTTGATAGATTAAAAGAGGGTGAAAACTCGGATCCATGTAAGTAATTTATCCTTGACCTCTGGGATCTTATCTTGACCTCTGGGATCCCAGAAAGTTTTGAGTTGTTTCTAATCTATAATCTTTCTAATGATTATCTCTAATTGTCTCTATTTGGTGAAATATTGAATATTATTTTCTGTGACTATTTCTTGAATTATCTTTCACTACTGACTTCTTATGAAAAGCATATATACAATCCCTTCTAAAGTTAGTGTCTCTCTATTTAATTATTCCTGGTTTCATTTTCTACTTCTAAAATACTTAATGTTAAAAGCAGAGCTACTGGCAGAATTTATATATTCTTTAGTTTTATTTTTCCAGCATTGACCCAAAAATTAAAACAAAAAATTATAAATAAGTTAATAAATAAAAAAACTATTTACTTATTATAATTATATATTACAATAATAAGCTTTAATAGCTTTATGTAAATTAATAATAAATCTAGATATACTAGAGCAGAAATTTTGCAGACATGACTTGAAAAGTAGATCAATGAATTTCAAAAGGGTCCCAAAGACTTAGTTACCATCAACTTAAATAGTTTTCAGAATTCATTGTTTCATTTTTAGGAAGAAAGTATAGTGTTTGCCAGCCCTGTTTGCCATTAAAGCAAACTCAAACCATTACAATGGCATTACAGGCTTGACAGTTTTTTGTGTGTTTTGGAATTGAAGTCAGTTTTTTGGGTGTATTTCGAATTGAAGTCAGAAATAGGGGGCAACACATTCGGATTTGGCCTTTGATAATCAGTGAAAAATCTTGATTTTGTTCAACCACATGACAGTAGTTCTGTTTTGTGCTGACATACAACATGGTTCTGTTTTGTGCTGACATACAACATGGTAAGCCTAGCTCTTTTTGAAATTGAACTATTCTAACAGACACTTTTCCAAGCAACGATGGGTGCCTTAGATTCTATGTGTTCATCAGGACTACACAAATGATGAAATTTTTATAGCTCCAGTTTGTC